ACACTGCGGGGGAAAGTGGAGTGGGCTCCACCTGTCATTCCTTCGACTTGGGGGTTGTTGAGGGGACCGTTACTGCTGAGGCCAGGGTGACACCTACCCATCGTCTAGCTTCACCTGAACACGGCCGGCCTGTCCCCACACACCCTCCCATTGCACACCTGACCTGCCCATCTTTACAATGTGCTTGTACTGAGGTTCAGATGCAGTCTCCTAAAGGGCAGAGCCTCAGGTATTCAGTAAACACATTTCTATCAAGTGGGAGGGCAGAGCGTTTGTGAGCACAGCCGTGTCGTTATGTAACCTCGCTTAGGAATTCGCGTGGGCTGCAGCCCTGTCAAGCCTGGCCATGGTCCAGGGCCCCAGTGGGCTTGTAAACACTTTCCCATCCACATGCCCCGTCTTGCTGCCCCTGCTTGTGCAAACCCCATGGCCACTTAGGTTTCGTCCTCGTGGTTGTGGGGCTCTGTTGCCTGGCTCCAGCGACCTGACTCCTAAACAGAGGGGACCCTTCTCAAGGAGCTGTCGCAAACAAACAACACCTTAGTTTATTGTTTCTTGCTAAAGGCACTTAAGTAAGAAGAGAGAAAATGAATGCATCCTCAGCCCCTCTGGATCTGCTCCTGTTGGGCGTTGTTACGGGATGTCTGTCGTCTTGCTGTGCGTGCATCTGCTGGGAGTCTCCGAGACCTGGGTCGGGACCGATCCATTCTGTATCTCAGCCCAGTGGATCTGTGTATGCGTGCTCAGTTGTTGGAGTTGTCTGACTCTTTGTGACCCTATGGATTGTAGCCTGGCAGGCTCCTCTGTCCTTGGGATTCTCCAGGAAAGAATACTGGAGTGGATTGACGTGCCCTCCTCCAGAGGATCTTCCTCACCCAGGGACTGAACCCATGTCTCCTATGTCTCCTCCATTGCAGGCAGATTCTTTACTGCTGAGCCACCGGGAAGCCCTCAGTAGATCTCCTTGTATTGTTTATTCACAGCTGTACTGCTGCCCTCCTAAAGGTTTAGGGACTAAGTTATAGTCTTGCCACCCTCTGAAATTATTCACCTCCAGGTGATATCATGGTTAGTGTTGGCCCTGGATGATGTAGGTCCTGTGACTTAGGAAGGCAGCCACTAGGCTTGCTAAACCTTTAAGGGTGTGTGGTTGTGGCTCCTATTTGAGGACACGCGTTTCTTGATGCCTGTGTAGACAGCCACCAGGCCCACAGCAAAGTGGAGTGAAATTGTTTCTAGTGCAGATATTCTAAAATCTGAGGGCAGGGGATTGATGTGTTCTTAGAAACTCGCTGGGGAGACATGGGTAAATAAAACTGCTAATGCTGAAGGGATGAAAGGGGTATTACAACCTTCATCACTCTAATCTTTATAAATGCTACCGATACTTTGTACCTTAAAAGGAGCATTTGGGGCACTTCTATTAAGCAAAATGCTGCTGATTCTTTCCATGGAGTGTTAAGAGCGTGATTCTGGTCTCTTGTCACCGACACTACTAACATTTATTGACTCGGATGATGAACCATTACTGACTCTGCAGGAGGTGCCAGAGTTGGGGTTCCTCTGGGTGGAGGTGGGTCCATCTCCTCTCTGGTCAGAGCTGTAGGTCCCCACGTGAGGGAGACCCCTGTGGTTTTCTGTGCCTTTAAGAGATAGCTGGTGTCATTCCTGAGGTGGCCAGGAGGACTGGAGCGGGTGCAAGTACAACCGCAAACAGTGGGAAGAGAATGTGGTGAAACAGTGGGCAGGACTGTGGGGAGGGCTCAGGTCTCTGCCAGTGCCGCTTGTCAGGCGTCCCCAGAAGCCCCTCAGGCAGGGCGCGTGTGTGCAGGAGGCGGATGCTCTGTGGCAGTGGTATACCCTGCTCTTCCTTCCACCCTGAACCCTTGTCCTGTGAAAAATTAATCTTTAGACACTAGAGTCACGCGGGGCCTGGGAAGGTATCTGTGCCCCAGGATGACTGAGAGCTGGCAGCCAGGGGGCGGGGAGGGGAGGGTGAACCCATCTGACGTTCCTCCCCTGCTCCAGGGCACCTGGTGACCTCTGCCTCCCCTCTCCTGGTGCCTGGAGTGGGCTGGGATTCACGTCTGATGAGTCACCCTCTGCGCGTGTGTGTGTGTGTGTGTGCACGCGCGTGTGTGTGTAGCTGCTGTGATGAGCGATGGTGAGACCAGAGGAGGGGAGACCGTGGAGCACCTTGGGTTCTGGGAAAGGTGGGGGCAGGCCTGGGGGCTTCTGGTTGGGATGAGCTGTGTACATCAGGAGCTGGCTGCAGGATGAACCCTTTAACTCAGAGCAGGAGAAAGGTTCCCCCAGAGGGAGCTGTGCTTGAGGGGCATCCTCCCCCGCCCTTAGGTGCTTCTTGATCCAGAACCTGTGATGCACTGTGTCCACCAGGGGCTCTGCCTGCGCACAGAACCTGGTGCCAAACTGGGGGAGGGGAGCTACTGGCTCCCTGAGGTGTGACCCTGTGGGCTGGCCTAGGGCCACCTCCCTCAGGGGCGGTCAGCTTCTGGAGGGAGGCCTTGTTGTTATTTTACAGCCTTGGTTCCCCTCAGTATTGATAAAGGCTTCAGAGTCAGACTGGCATGTGCCTGAAACTCTCTTACCTTTTCTCCAAGTCTTCTCCCCCTTTCCCTCACTTCCCGGGTAGCAGTGGAGAAAGGCCGACAGAGAGGGTGGGTCCATCATCCAGCAGAGATAGGTGCGTGGGGTCACGTCGTCTCCGTGGGGGTCCTGCTGCAGCATGTGTGGATGGGGGCCTTGGCTCAGCGGTCAGTATGGTGGGGGGCCTCTCCTGAGCGGTCACTGTGCTGCAGGGACCTTGGGGGGGGTGAGGATGCAAGCAGTGCCTCGAGAAGGAAGGCTGGGGGCACAGCCTTTGGTTGGGCCCTGCTGAGGAGCCAGAGACCCTGGGTGAAGTGAGAGAGGACTTGTGACTGGAGACCATTTGCTGTTGGAGAGTAAATGGAAGTTGTCAAATTCCTAAAGAGTTCTCATGGGCTAGTTCCAGATGCCAGCCCTGGACAGGGGCCTGGAGGCCAGGCCTAAGTCTGGATTCCCACCAGCCACGTGTGCACAGGCTGCCTGGCGCCTCCCGCATAGTGAATGTGGGGCTTGTGTTTGTCAACATGAATTGCTCCCCTGACAGTCTGTGTACATTTCTTCATTTATTTATCAGACTGTTTCCTTGTAGATAGCACAGAGGTAAATGACTTTGGGGTTTGCCCTAAGGGGCAAACCAAGGGGCTCCTTGGGTCTTTATGTTTTCTCTCGAGTGATGGTTCTCTGGTTACTGAAGGCCTGGTCCCATCACTTTGTGGCAAACAGATGGGGAAACAGTGGAAACAGTGACAGCCTTTATTTTCTTGGACTTCAAAATCACTGCAGACGGTGACTGCAGCCATGAAATTAAAAGACACTTGCTCTTTGGAAGAAAAGCAATGGCAAATCTAGACAGCATATTAAAAAGCAGAGACATCACTTTGCCAACAAAAATTTGGATAGTCAAAGCTTTGGTTTTTCCAGTAGTGATGTATAGATGTGAAAGTTGAACCATAAAGAAGACCGAGCACTGAAGAATTGATGCCTTTGAACTGTAGTGCTGGAGAACACTCTTGAAAGTCCCTTGGACAGCAAGGAGATCTAACCAGACAATCCAAAAGGAAATCAATCTTGAATATTCATTAGAAGGACTGATGCTGAAGCTGAAGGTCCAATACTTTGGCCACCTGATGCGAAGAGTCCACTCACTGGAAAAGACTGTGATGCTGGAAAAGATTGAAGGCAAGAGGAGAAGGGGAGGACAGAGGATGAGATGGTTGGATGCCATCATTGATTCAATGGACATGAGTTTGAGCACATTCCAGGAGATAGTGAAGGAGAGGGAAGCCTGGCATGCTGCAGTCCATGGGGTCTCAAAGAGTTAGACATGAGTGAGTGACTGAACATACACACAGAACAGTCACCTGCAGCATCTCCCACATTGTTGGTCTGGACCATACTTGCTGGGAGTGCTTCTCATTGACCTGGCACAGGATACCTGAAGCCCATCTCTTTCCGACCTGACTCTTTTGTGAGCATGGCTGCCTGTGAGGTCCCTGCATGCCCAGCCTCCCTTCCTCCTGGGCGTGCGCAGTGCAGGGCGTGGGCTCCTCCACTCTGGGTGTGTGAGGGCAGAATCCAGCCTGCTTCTGGGCTTGGACCCCTGGGTACCCTGGAGAGGAGCCTCTGCTCTACTTAGGAGGGAGGACGGGTCCCCTCTCCTGCAGTACACCAGTCTGCCGTGGCCTTCCTGCCCTCCTCGTGGGCAGCCCTACCCCCAGACCCCCAGGCAGGGTGACCCCATGGAAAGGTGAGAAATGGTGCCAGGGCCCCTCCTCCACCCACCCTTCCCTGCCAAGTGCCCAGAGGGGTGCTTTTACCCTGCGTATTGGCACCATCACCCCAGAGGCCTGAGCTGCTCCCAGAGACCTAGGGCCTTGGAGCCACAGCCTGAATTCAAGTCACGTCCCTGGTGATTCTGGACACTGGTCTCAAACTGTCATTCCAGACGTCTTGACAGCCCAGCTATGGAATTTACATTCCAAGGCCTTTTCCCTTCCCTTTCCTTCTCCCTTCTTGCCATCTTTCTCTCTCTCTCAATTATAGCACACAGCATAAATATTGAGCAGAGTATGGAAAGTAATGACCGCCTGTTCCTTTCACGAGAGCAGAAAGGCTTTAAGGTAAAATGTGGAGTGTTTCGATGAAATTAGGAAAAAGAGGCTGTGCAATTTCATTCTTCAGATGTCTTCCAAAGTGGAGGTATGGTCTGTTGGAGGCTAGGGACCGTGGGATTCCTGTGCTGTTGGAACTGCACCTGTGTCCTACCCGAGGACCAAAGCAGTGATGTTTGCAGGCGGTCTCCCAGGTTGGGACCTGCTGGTGGCCTGTGCACCCCCGCAGGAGCCATCCTCAAAGGTGAGGCTCCCCGGAAAACACAACCCCTTTTACCCCAGGTGAAGTGCTACCACAAGAAGTACCGCTCGGCCACCCGCGACGTCATTTTCCGCCTGCAGTTTCACACCGGCGCTGTTCAAGGCTACAGACTTGTGTTTGCGAAGGAGGATTTGGACAACGCCAGCAAAGGTGAGGTCCCTCCCTGGGTCCAGACTGAATGTGGGGAGAATGGGCCCTCGGTGGGTGGCCCCCGGGAGCCTTGTGTGTTCCTTTCATTGTTCTCCACTACTGCCCCCCACCCCCACACCATAAACCAGCTTATTGACAAAATTATTACCAGTCTCACTAGAGACTGATGGTAGTTCCAACAAAGAAAAAAATTCTAGAGAAACAGTAAAAGTACTAACATCTTCTTTGTTATTGGTGTGCTGTTGGAGATTTGGGAGTGGTGTTGCCCTGGTAGGAATATAAGGACAAAATTCATTTATTGTCTTGTCTCCAAATTTGTTGAAATAGGATTTCTTTTTTAGATGACCGTTTTCCTGATAATGGGAAGATTGAGTTAGTCTTCTCAGCCACTCCTGAGAAGATTCAAGGTGGGTAGAACACAGAATTCTGGCAGGGGGGTGGAGAGGGCAGCAAGATGCTGACCTGGTTGGGTGGTGTGTATGCTGGAGTCTCTGTAGAACCTCCCACCTTTGTACATAATTGGAAATATTTATAATACATTAAAAATAGAATATTAGACAGTGGGAAGGTGTTAACTTGGAGACAGTAGGGCCCAAGTAGGTCAAAAAGACCCCAGAGATGGTGTGACTTGCCCAAAGAAGGGCCCAGAACTTCAGGATTGGGACCATGACTTGATGCCCTATTTATTTCTCCCCTCAAAAAACAACCACATATTTTTAAAGAGGACTAGAAATATAGTAGAAAGACTGCAAATATTTGTGTGCACAATAGACTCCTTTCTTCTAAAAATACATTGGAAGAGAAAGCAGTCTTTTTACTGTGAAGACAAATGGCTCATTTCCATCACCGAGATTATATTTGTGAAAGTTTTAATTCAGTTTTTAATAGCTGTGGAAAAGAAGCACCCTATTTCTGTGCCCAGTGCCATAGATTGAGGCATGAAAAGTTAAATGCAGGGCTGTGGGCTAAGAATCCTCGTAGAAGCCTCAGAAAGGCAAGAGCCCAAACCCACCCCTCCCGTCCACCAGCCCTGAGGCTGCTCCTCAGGGTTCTGCTGGGTCCTTGACCTGCAGAGCCATCCAGGTGACCCCCTTGTGCAGAAATGCATCCAGAGCACAGAGTCTCCCACCTGGTAGACAGAGGACCAGTGTTCACCTCTCCTTCCTGCCAAGTGGTTTGCACTGTTTTTTAGTTCCAGCTCAGATTGCTGGCAGGCTTGTGGGAGAGGGTGTGGATCTGGACGCTGGGCTGGCACTCAGATGCAGAGGCTGCTCTCTGCATTGCTGGCAGGTACTGGCTTGACTGGGACTAACACCCTTTGTCCACCCCTGTCCCTTCCACCACCCTGCAGGATGTGAACATTTGCAGAATGACCACAGGGTGATTGTGGACTTCAACACAGCAGACCCGCTAATCCGCTGGGACTCATACGAGAACCTGAGTGCAGATGGTGAAGGTGAGTCTTGTTACCCGGCTCTCAGTTCCTGGAGAATAAAACCCAGAACAAGCAGCCTGTTCACCTTTAGATTGAAAATCTCCTTGCAGCCTGCTTGGAGACTGTCAAGCATCCACACCATTGTGAGTCTGAGGGCACTTGTGAGAATCAGGCTTGGTGAATTGGGTTGAGCTTTGACAAAGCTGCACAGTGATGGTCAGTTAGTGAACTTGTTAGTTAGAAGCTTCCTCACCTGAAGCTGTATGTCTGTGTCTCCCTTCCCTTCCCTATTGTGCAAGGGGAATGCCTGGTGTGTGAGCACTGGTAGCCTTCCTACTATTGGGGAGCCCCATGGGCAATAGGTTTGTGGGTTCTATTTCTGTTTGCTCATTGCACTGGTGTCCAGGTTGTATGGCTGCGTCATTTAGTCTCTGTTTTGTGAGTCTGTCTCTCCCAAACATATTCTCTGTTTGCCATGGGATCTGCAGTTTGAGTCACAAGTATCATGAAAGAGAAAAGGAATGAAGGGTGGCACCTGCCAGGTTTATAGAAAGAAGCCTCTGGAGGTCAGTTTCAAAGAGGAGGGATCAGACTTCTTCCAGGCGCTTGAGAACACTGGCCTTTCATCTTTTTCAGGCACCAAATTGTGAACAGACCTGATCTGGGAGAGACAGTCAAAACAATTTTGTCCAATTAGTTCCATCCAGACATTAAGTAGCCAGAAGCAAGTGTTGTGGAGGTGACTGCACATGTGCCCATCTCTGTGCATCGCTGGGATTGCAGGGACTGGCCGGGGATGTCTGTGGTCCACTCAGGGCAGGCATGAGGCTCCTCAGCTTGTCCACCTGGAGAGTCTGGGGTCATGTCAGTATTTCTGTGATACAGACCATGCTGCTGTCAGGAGGTGAAGCCCTCATTACTCCTGTGCTTCAGGCACGGTTTCTAAGTGCTGTATGTGTCAAGCCTCTACACACGAAGTGCCATTCCCATGCCCAGTTCATCCACCACACTGCATTCTATCGGAGGAGGCTCCCAGTTGCTTTTGATGTTTTTTTAAGACCTTGCAAATCTACTTTTTTTCCCCCAAAAATTGAGGTATAGTTGATCTACAATATTGACAAGTTACAGATATACAATATCGTGATTCACAATTTTTAAAGATTATACTCCATTTAGAGTTATGATAGAATATTGGCCATATTCCTATGCCGTGCAATATATCCTCATGGCACATTTATTTTATACATAATAGTTTGTACCTATTAATTTCCTACCCCTGTCTGACCCCTCGTCTGTTGCACTTGCTCCCGGTGGAGCTCATGGGGGTTCTGAGTTCTCACTGTTGTAGGTGCTGTGTGGATGGCCCCTTGCTGCCAAGGCCCTGCAGACCCTTACACAGCCACCTTCCACAAAACATGCAGTTTCCCTCATGTGGAATCATTACCCTTCCTGAGGTTCCCTCCATCTCCCCAACTCTTCAGGCTCCTCTGTGGGGCTGACCTGCATTGGTGAACTCATTGCTCCTTCCCAGAGCCCTTAGCTCTCACTTGGAGCCTCAGTCCCTGGCTTGGGTTCCTGGAGGAGGGCACCACTGACACCCCCCCCACACACACACTCCTGCGAAGGTGGGGGGCATTGGCTGGCAGGAAGCAGTCTCAGCCATGCTTCCCTAGAGCAAAACTCTCCGGGGTGAAGGAAGGTTTGGCAGCCTATGGTTTTGGCTAGAAAATGATGTCTTTTGGCCCTCCCTTCTCTGTGCACTTCCATTTCTAGTCCCTACTGGTTAAAACACACACACACACTGACCTAAACTGTATTTGTCTCTGCTGTCCTGGAGTGGACCCTCCGCAGTGACCTTCAGTCAGGACCCGGACCCCGTGTTATGTCTGAGCAAAGTGTTGTGCCTCCTCCACCAGCCGTGAGCTCGTTCACATGGGGACACTTGATTCCAGATGTCCTGTCTTCATCACGGAGACTCAGTTCTCTGCTCCCAGCTCTGGGGCCTGGAGGGGATCTGGGGCTCCCACTGCCTCATCAGTATTTCATGGGACTCTCACTGTCTCAAGGAGAGAAATGGACGGTGGGGGCGGACAGTGGGGCAGCCTACCAGAGCCTCTCACGTGCTGTTTTATTTGATCTACATAAGACCCTGTGACCCATTTTAGAGATAAAGGGGGCAGTACCCAAGAGAAATCAAAAGCTGGACTTTGATGAGGGGTCCTGGTAGCCTTCTAGGGCTGTGCACTGTTGGTGGTCACACATGAAGCTGGGTGAGTTGTGTGTTCGAGATCATGCAGGATGGAGACTGTGGAAGTGGGACACAAGTCTGGGCCCGGTTTGACCCCAGTGTTATTTGGTGCAAACCTCATCCTTCCAGCTGAAGACCTGCTGGTCCCTGGACCAGAGTGAGGCCTGCAGCACAGTCCTTGGTTGGACGTGAAGCCTTGCTGTGCCCCTCCTTTCCTCTGTTCCTGGCTTTAACCAACGAGTGTGTTTCTGGCCACAGGTAAAGCTCGTGGATCCAGGGTTGCATAGACAGCGGCCGCTGTCCCCCAGGTTAGGGCTCTGATACTTCAGGTCATTGGCCTCCCAGGCAACCACAGTTGCCCAGAGCTCCATGGGAGTGGGCTGCAGAAAGGGGGCCTCTGCTTTTTTATCACTTTCACAATAAGACCCACTCCTGTTACTCTCCCGTGCAGGACGCTCTACTGAGCTTCCGGCAGTCGGGCTGCTGGTGAGGACAAGTTGGGTCCGGAAGAACCGGCCACAGGTGTGTGCAGTTACAAGTTCTGGATCAAGCTGTGATATTTAGGTGTTGCCATTTGGTGGCGCTAGTGGTAAAGAACCCGACTGCCAATGCAGGAGACACAAGAGATGCGAATTTGAACTTTGGGTCAGGAAGATCCCCTGGAGTAGGACATGGCAACCCACTCCGATATTCTTGCCTGGAGAATTCCATGGAAAGAGGAGGACTGGTGGGCTACAGTCCACAGAGTCACAAAGAGTCAGACACAAATGAAGTGACTTAGCACACATGCATACTTTGAAAATGTATTTGAAAGCTTTTCTCCCCAGAAACTGTTGTCAGGTGTTGAGATTTGGAAAAACAAAGCACACTTTGGTGACTTACGCAGAAGAGGGTCCACTGGAATCCGGAAGATCAGACCTTAGGTCTTGGCTCTGCTCTCTGTCCAAGGTCAGGCTCCTCCCTGGCAGAATGGGAATGCTGCTGGCTGAGCTTCCAGAATGTAGCGGCTGCATCATCAGTGTCTGACCACTGTAGCCACTCACTGAATGCTTCCACTCTCTGTACCCAGACTGAGAAGAATTGCTTTAGATCCTGCATCCTGCAAAACTTTCCTTCACATTGCTTGCTTTGACGGTTCAGAGCAGAGTAACTGCTTTAATACAGCCCAGCTATGAAATGCCAATGGCATCTTGCTCAGATCTCAGGAAGCACCATCCTGTGTTCTCTTGATTTTCAGCCTCCAGCTCTCTGGCCTTGCAGGTCCCCTTCCAGGTGTGAACCCGTGACCTGGAGTTAATCCTCTCTTGGTAAGGGATTTCAGGCAGTGATTGGGATGGAGAGCAATGGCTTCATCTAATCTGAAATACAGGAGTCTCACCTTTTGTGCTAGGAACCATAAAGTCCTTTGGGTGTTAACTTTTTGAAGTGGATTGGATCCTATCAGAAGAGTGAGTGCAGTGTTGGAGGCTGTTAATGAGTCATAACTGGCCTTGAGCTGCCGTTTCAGAGGTATCAGAGAAATTGACTTGAAATTCATGTCATCTGGACGAGTTTGCATGAATTAGCGCATGTCAGCCTCCCAGTGAAAGGTTGGAGCTGCAAGCCGTGACCTGCTTACAGTTTATTTCCTCTACTTGGGGACCTCTAGCCTTCCTACCTGAGAGGGTGGAGAAGGGAATGGCAATCCACTCACTCCAGTATTCTTGCCTGGAGAATTCCATGGACAGAGGAGCCTAGTGAGCCATAGTCCATTGGGTCACAAAGAGTCAGACATGACTGAATGACTAATACACACACACGCAGCCTGCCAATGATGGCTGGAGGCCTCAAGTAGCATTATCCCAGGAGAGCCAGTGAACAGAAGCATTGAGAGTTGGCTTGATTTCACTGGGGTCCTTGGCTCCCAACCTGCCCACATCCCTCAAGCTGTGGGACCCACCCTGGGAGTGAGCATGTCCTGTGCTCTGGGGTAGGGGTATGAAAGGCAGGTGGCTGTGGACATGCCCTCAGCTTCAGCCAAGGGCGTGTTTATCCAGCTCTCACTTTCCTCCTGTCCTTTATGACCAGTGTCGGCAGCTCCCTTTGATGCTGCACCTGCTTTAGCAGCGGCTCCCTGGGAGGCCTGCCCGTGCCCTGCATCCCGGCTCTAGAGTGCATGTCTCTGGACTCGGTCACTGGCATTTCTGCCTTGGGGACCGGCCCCTGAGTTCTGACTGCCAGTGGGTTCTCCGAGAAATGAAACTAGGAGTGGGCCTGACCTCCTGGTCTCCCTAAGACCCCAAGTCACACAACTTCTACAAACCCCAGCCCTCTCTCTCCCAGCCCAGGTGACCACCCATCTTCCTTCTCTATGAATTTCCCTTGTATGGACATTTCATGCAAATGGACTCCTGCAGTGTGTGGCTTTTCATGACAGGCATCTTTCACTCTGCATGATGATTTGAGGGTTCGTTCAGTTTTGATACATCACTCCTTTTTTATGGCCAAATAATGTTCCAGAGTGTGACTAAACCTGTGTGCTGATCATTCATCTGCAGGTGAGCATTTGGGTTTTTTCCATCTTTTGCCTCTTGTGGTTAATGCTGCAGTGAACCTTCTTGTACACGTTTTGGCCTTAGGCTGTTCTTTTATTGCCCATCTTTTTTACTACTTTGTGAAATTTCCACTTCTTTTAGTCCTAGTTGGTTTTCCTTTTCTGGTTATTTCTTCTGTCTTGATGGGTTTCACAACCTTCTGCAGGTCTCCTGTCCCACTTTGCCAACTACTCCCAGGA